GAGAAATTCATTTTTTAGTTCTCTTCCACATATGTAATGGACAAAAACAAGAAGATGTGAAAAATTGGCTACATCACAGGATTCATCAAGTTGCAAAGAAATTTTGCTGGGCTAGATTTGATCTGTTCAATAACTTGTTGACAAATATCTTGCGACATTTCTATAATACGCCGATGAATTGTGCCATTAGAAAGGGGAATAGCTTAAATCTTCTGTTTTTCTTTATTCCCACATACATGTTCAACCATGTCTAAGGCACAAAGTTTAATCAGCTTCTCGGCTATGTCATGAGGTTTCTTTGCCTTTGCTTTTCGCATCGCTTCATGATAGGAAGCTGCAAACATTGGTTTCTTCTCAGATACGAAGCCCAAGTTTGGGCAGTGTTCCTGCAGCCCTAAACCTAGCTCTCTTTGCCTCAAATGTAGCACGGTCATCAGATGCATGGGCAGGATGTGTAGCTTCCAGATCAATATTGAAGGTTTCAGTGACCCATTTCCAAGAACTTTTGAGCACAGCAGACACTGGGGCTTCTCCACACCATCCACAACAATGAAGTCAAAACCATATTCTACATATGAATCCAGGTATGTACGTTTCTTGGACATGACAAAATCTGAAAAGAAATAATTATGAATTAGTATAGTGACTGAACAGGATTGACTGACACTCTCCCTCACGCGAGCACACACACACACATTCTTAACATTTTCTCACTTTCTCTCTCTCACACACACACATTTTACAAAATGAAATGTAATTGAATTATTATTCAATCATCAGGTACATCAATTATTTACCCCCTGCCATGTAATTTTTTACCCCCAAAGGGTAAATTTACCCCTGGTTGAGAATCACTGCTTTAGAACAAAGGCTGCAGCATGTAAACGTTATCTGTGCAAAAGGAGTAACACATGTTTACGACATTTTGCTATCTGGTCAACTCAGATGTGATTAACTAGTTGCTGAATTTCTGTGTAAATTTAAACAACTTGATGGAATATACCTGAATAAAGATATATTCTATACTAGTTATAGTATTTTGTATCACAAGTTATCCTAACTCATCATTATTATTCACTATCCTTATTCCATCTTGATTCTAGAACAGATCTAGGACTAGCTTGAATTATGGTGGGCCTAGCAAAAATTGAACAATATTGATCATTGCGGCAAAATTATAATCTTTTAGGAGGACTTGTAGATTGCTATAAATATACCGATGACATCATTTATATGTATACTGAAAGAAATAGAAACAAAAAGAAGAAAGGGAGAAAAATTACTGTAAGGTATTCTTGTGAGCCCTATTAACAAGTACTAATTTACAATATGGTTAGCTTAAATTTAGTTAAACACCTACACTGTTAAGTTATATACATAAGTACAAATATGTAGTGTTTAATTCAGGTATATTATAGAATTACCAACTGTGCTCCACCAACCTTATACAGTTAAACTCTGGGTTAAGTAGTTAGCACAAAGGATCACTTACAAAAGTTGTAATATTTCAAAACGAGACCCAAAACTCGTTTTGAAAACATTACAGTTAAACTCTGGTTAGCCAACAAGAATTGTTGAAAGTTAAAGATATATCGAAATAAACAAAGATTGTCAGAAACCATTGACACACCTTTCTGATGCGGAACAAAAGCAGTCGAAGAAGTTTCTACAGATCATAATCTATTTCTTGACTATCATTCCAGTCGCGTTTTAATGCTAATGAAAAGTATTTCGATTCATTTGATTCTAATCACAACAAAACTTTTTCACGACTATCGAATGAGTTTAATTTAAGGCCACATCCTCACATCAAAGCGACATTTGATTGTTAATCCAGCTTTTCATTGCTTCAATTCAGTTAAAAACGAAAATAACTTTCACTAACCAATTAGTTTGATTGTTCCATTGCCAACACATTTCTACTAGCATTAGGACGTGTAAATGCATGTTAAACCAGGGAGACTCTTTGAAGAGCTCCTTTATTTCCAGTGAAGACTTGTAGATCACATTTATTATTCTGTGAGTCATTATCTTCATCAGAGCTATCACTTTTTTTAAACTGCTATTGCTTAGAGCATCAACATTTGGTCACATTTCTGGAGTTTTTCTTTTGTCACTAGGGGCATTATCCTCGTCACAAATGCTTCTTTCAATAGGTTTATCTATATTTCATGTATCACTTTCTTTCGCGTTTTGAAATTTAACTTTTTAACACCTGTCACTAGAACCAACCTGGCATTTTGACAAAAAAAAAGGCTATTCCAGAAAGATTTGGATTGTTTTGGTTAGACAAAAAGATGTTTGACACTGTTTTCGAAATCTAGGTCGTTGGACTAGACGCGTGTCTTGACCCGAGACCATAAAAGTCAACATGGCGAAGTTAATATATATATATATTATAGATGTCTGATATGGGTGTTAAAAACAAGTAACAGTGTGTTTTATGCTCTTAATACCCATATCAGCCGTCTCTAATATATATATATATATGTTGCATGACAAGCAAATTATGCTGATACTTGGGGTTACACAATTCTTATGTAATATGCTAATTATGCTACTACTTGGATTAAGTAATTGTTACATAATATGCAAATTATGATGACACGTGGGAATTTCATAATTGTCATGTAATATTCAGTTTATTCCATTGCCTGGGGTTACATAATATACAGAGGATACTGCTTTCTGAGGGTTATATAATTAATACATAATAGGCACTAGGGGGCGCATCTGTATTGAGGGATGGGTGACATCATAGTTCAAGGAATAATGGTTGGAGACGGCTTGAATGGGTAATGAAGAAAAACTTTATAAGTTTAACATAACAGCAAATGTAGAACGTTTCGATAAGGTTTTGTCATCATCAGGTACAAGTAATTTACACTGACACGGATATATTACTTGTACCTGATGGTGACAAAACCTTGTTGAAACGTTGTACATTTGCTGTTATGTTAAACCTATATTAAAGTTTTTCTTCGTTACCCATTCAAGCCGTCTCCAACCATTATTAATCTCAAAGTGGGTTCCTCGTCATCGAAAATAGTTCAAGGAAGTGGTACCACAGAACGTGTTGCTAAGGGAGGAATTATATCATAATACCACTAAGTTGCACCAGTGGGCGAGTTGCTAGGAGAGAGGGCGCTAAATCTGAATGTAGTCCTACGTAAATATAGTAACACTGTTCACTCTTAGGACCTTACTAGCACCATTCATCATTACAAGTACATGTAATACAGTTAAATATATATAAACTATAAACATATATTGAGATGAGTTTAAATCTGTATGCAGTCTTATTGGGCTATAGTAACACTATTCGCTTAAAGAAATACTATTTTCTTTTGTAAAACACCTTTAATATGCCTAGTAAAACAATCCGCCTATAGAACCTTGGTAACACTGTTCACCTATATTAACAGGTTCTCTGGTATTGAACTATGATATCTCCCTCCCTAAGACAGTCAACTTATGATTATCATTTTCATTAATCTATTACCTGTGTTTTACAAAGGTGGATGGTGTTACTAAGGCTCTATACACGGATGGCAAATTGTGTTACTAAGGTTAGTACTGCTAGGGCAGATGGTGTTTCAATAAATGGTTAGTTCAGAAGGATGATGATCTCATCGTAGGGTGTCTCATTATGTGACTACATCATTAACATTGTATTCTAGATTTAATTATATGTTCTAAAAGTTACAAGTAAAACCATTATTTTAATGAGACAACTATTATAATATAATGTATCACACGTCACAATAATTTACCTTACGTACTTTTACAACTGTCTGTCACTTTATTTATAAAACACTTTGCTAATTCATTAGTTCTATAGTTTTTTTGCTTGTATATTTAACTTGCATGACATATCTTTTGCATTTTCCGTTTCATAGTTAAAACTCTTATTGCTATTTCATATCTAAAATTGATATATTGCATAACATCTATTCGCCATGAAAAGGATGCTTATTTAAACCTCTTAATAATATATAATGATTTATTGTTTAGCTTTATAATTTGGTTTGTTCTACTAAAGTTTATAGGATCTACCAAATAGGTATGTTTAGCCGTTACTATTTTTACCTTTATTTAGATATTTTCACAAATCCTTGTCTAGAGCTTGTTTCATGCTGATTTGGAACTTTATGCATATAGGTCCGATCATTAATATTCTTACCATTTCGAAAAACGAACGTTTACTACAGATAGGTCACTTTTTATCCTATTGCTGACATATTCACCAAGCAATGTATCTAAGTTTTCAAACTTCAAGATCACCGACATTGTAATGATTTATCACAAAACTAGTCACTGGCAGGAGAGGTTTAAACAACCAAGACTGCAATACCCTCGCAGGTCAATGAACCTCCTAGGAACATTGTTATTTCAGATTTATTGTTAACTTCTAAAACAGAAATTGTTGAAGGTGGAAATTGTGGAACATCTGGTTGCAAGTAATCATTGCTCTATTAGATTTGATGTGTTGCGTCAGCGAGTCACATGACTAGTGTGACGCCACGTTTCTAGAACTATCCCGTACCTTGGCGAATGCTCTAGTATTTACTAGATATAGGGTAGTCTGGTATATAAAAGAGGGTGACAACGTGACGGAGTAATGTAATGTGTGTGTAGGTAATGAGTAATTGAACTGCAGTCAGAGAGAGACATATTGTTGAAGTTAACGTTCGTTCGTTACAGTGTTTGTTGTAGAGCGACTGTTGAAGTTGAGTGTATCGTAAAGTTATATTCGGAAAGAATAAACCAGTTTTATTAAGTAAGGACTTGTGTCACTAAAGTTTCGTCGGAACGAATTTACAGAAAGTTAATTAACAAACGGAGACGTAACAATATGTTTACTTGGGATATTAATGTTACATTTCACTTCAGTTTATTCAATTTATAAGAAAAACATTCAAGTTTATTTCTTATGATTTATGACTTGTCAATAATTCTTTTTTAACATTCTACAGCTTAAGGTAATAATTACTTAAACAAATTAAATAAAGTAACTGATTCATCAAGTGTAAAACAAAGTTTCCTAATGAATGTTATAAACACAGTAATATCAAAAATATCTTTAATTGTGAATGTTTTAAAAATGTTTCAAATCCCATCATCAGAAATAAACCACAAAAAGGGAATTTCCAACATTCTAACTACAAAAAATAGCATCAGCTATTATGCAAGAAGTTTTTCATACAATCAAAAAGTTCAAAAATAATGCAGATTTAAACAGTGATGATATAATGGAATGTGTTTCCAATATTTATAAGACAGAGTTGAAAAATATGGATTTGTTTGTTACATTTAAATTAGAATAGCAATATATCCTCATTAATAAATTACTAAGTAAATAGCATTATGAATCAATACTTATATATTTCATCTATAGTTTTGTAATAAGGACTGTAAAGAACAGTTACTGGACCAGAATACCATTAGTGCCAAGCCCAACAGGCCGAAAACTATTCTGTTTTTTTAAAAAAGTCATTAGTAGTGAGGTCACTAACATCCTCTATGTTAGCCAAGTGTACCGAGATCACTCGATGAATTAGAAGAATCGCTTTTCCTGCCTACGAAAAATAATTAAATAAAAATT